TGGTCTTTTTTACTTAATAATGAGGTTACGTCCGATCCTTGCGATCATCAAAATTGTCGACTAAAGGCCGATTGCTCTGATTATCAATGGTTAGTAGACTAAAATGAAAAGTCAACTTTTCCGCGATAACATTTGTCATATGAATACAAACTTTGGCATTATATGTATGTATGTATATATATATATTCCTCCGTAACTGTGCATATATTTCTGTAAGTTGACGACGTCTTTTCGGAAATATAACGAGTGTATAAATAAATTCTGTATTTTGAAATTGGTTGCTTTATAAAACGTACTTGAAGCCTTGGCTTTTATGGAAATATTGCTTATACATAGCTAAGATATTGGTGCTTATACGGCCTTACAAACTGTCGTTCAATGCAAAGAGATAAGTATCCTTAATGGCTCTGTGTCTTTCTTGTCTGAAAGTGGAAAAAAAAACTTATCCGAAGCTATGGAAGAGTTAAGTTGGACCGTCGTGCGAACGCAGTAAGTTATAAAGTAGTTTCTATATAGCAGGCGTGATTTCATGCAAAAAACCTTCCTTCTGAAAGCGATGAAGTTCACATACATTAAGCTGACTCCAACAGCAGTCAGTCAACAAATGATCTACAGCTTGGGCTGAGAGCTACTTTTTCGTTTGGCGATTATGCCCTAGAACTCTCTCCTTCTGACCGCTATATGAATCGAATATTATTTCGCTTCGAAACCGCGACGTCGCTTAGGCGAAGGCACTCGCAAACGTCACACATCTTTTAATTAAATTTCAATTTTATCAAAAAACACATTTGTACGCTTATTATATTCATGTTTAATATCCGAATATTGTTTCTTGCTTTCATTTGATGAACGACACTTTGAAACTCTGAAATATAAGCGAGCGGAAAAGCAACTGCAAGCAACTGTAATTTTGTATTGTCTTTTGTATTCTTTTATTTAAGTTGGAGCATACGCACCCAGTAGTTCAACTCTCCGTCGAGACAGAAATAAATGCTTTGTTACAGGAAGTATTGGCACAAAGTACTACTGGAGCAGATCGATTTTCTGGGTTTTTGCTGAAGACAAACTTTCACGTTTCCGTAAAGCGATGCTGCAAACTCTCGTTGTTCACTTTTTCCTTTTGTTTTTTCTGTTGTATAACTTTAGCGAACCACTAACAGTCTCGGAAAAATCTGCAACTACATCTGATTCGGTATTTTAAGTTTTCATTTCATTCTATAGAAGCAAAAACATATTCGAAAAAAAGGAAAAGTGAACATAGCCCTGTATAGGGCAAGGTTCAAAAATACCTTAAGCTCTCTGGCTGAAGATAGTCAGGTGATGTGATTGCAACATTTCGTATATAAATAATAAGTTCTTCCGTTGTGTGCTTCCACTCATTGCGAGTAATATTAACAAAGTCAACATATTTATCGGCGGAAAGTGGAGAGAGAAGAAGAATATAACAAAAAAAAAAAAAAAAAAAAAAAAAAACAGAACGTCGAACATATGATAAAAGAATAAAAGTCAACGTACGTATGTTACGAGTACATACAGGTAAAAATGAACAAACAGACAAGATATGTACGTGTGCAAAGAACGCATACAAAGAAAATCATAACACAATCAAGTGCATACCAGAGTTATACGCGCACGCACGCACACATGCAAGATTCAATAGTAGTCATTAAAAACGTTAATTGTACTCGTAATTGATAACTTGCTGCTTCCAAACAAAATAAACACACTCATATATACAAACGCAAGCACGCACGTACACACGTACGAACACAGGCACACAACGCACATGGATATTTATATACACAATAAAGATACATACAAGCCCAAATATACTGGCACAAGCATGATGTGTATGTTAATTAATAAATTACTAACGAGAGATTGTACGACCGAGAGACAATCTCTTCGATAACTTTATCTACACGTTTCAATTTATATCAAAAACAAAAAATGAGCAAATAACATATAACAAAATTTTATAAGAAAGCTATGATGTTAATTGAAAAGTTAAAGCTATATCATTAAGCTTAAGAGAATATTAAAAACCGACAAAGTCAATCGGATTGAATGTAAAGCAAAGTAAAAAGCGAAGAGTTCTAAGAGACTTGAATTGACTTGACTTGACTTGACTGAAAAGGAACGAGCTCTCGTATAATTTATAAATCAATACCTATTAATATTAAAAGATTGACTTAAAAAACAAAAACGAACCTAAATTTAACCTTCCCTATAAATAGTAAGCGAACAGAGTTGCCATGATCCCCTAGCAACGAAAATTTGTGTGCTTTTTATTGATGAGACGTTTCGCAACCTAGACTAGTTAGTCAAAACTTGATTTAGACTAACCGAACTTAAATTGGTTATCAAAATTTGAAGAGAGGCAAGCGATTCAACCTAATCCTAACCGTAACTTTTTATTTATTTTTAATAATTGGAAACGATTCTCCTCGGCGTGGAAGACCCTGCTCAGCTTGACTCTAATCTGGCGGTGTAACAAGACATAAGACATGTAGTGTAAGTGAGAGATATTGTTCTCTAACGTTCATTATCGTCAAATGAGATACGACTACTCTCGTATGGTTTCTTTACTTGTTTAAGTGTAATGTGTATCATTACCTAGCTATTATACGAATACATTTATATAACTTATGGTATTCGGTTCTGCGCGATTACGTTCAAACTTCCTATTAATCTTGAGCTCTAGACGAAAAATTAAATTTGACACAATTATGATCATCCTTCCTTGGATGCTACAAATGCATACAAGAACAAATTATTTAAGAAAATGTTTCAACGCATTTGTGATCTAAATGAGGAGGAGCATTGGCACGTATATATATATATATATGTATGTAATGTGCTAATCCCAATTACAATTGATTATTATTCTCACTATTATCAACTGATGTAAATTAACTTTGGAAAATCTGTCATGAATGAAAGCGTATTGTATTTCAATCGTAAGAAAGTTCGCTTGATTATCGTGGTAACCGAACGATGATGACAATTCCTAAAGTAATGATTATTTTTGGAAATTTTAGACCAATGTAACCTTCTAATTAATTATCTTCTGATTACACTTGTACGTTCTTAGTATATATTGCGTTTAAGAAACTGGTAAAGTAAAAAAAAAAAACAATTTTTCCTAAAAAAATCATTCTGCTTTGCATTTTCTAAGCAATTTGACAACTCACCAATAACGTACGGAGGGCGAATGAAAAAAGTTAAAATGCATTTCAATTTAGAGTGAAAACAGAAACGAAGTAGCATAGTAGTTACAGGGGACGGCTGGACCTATAACAAGTTTTATATATTAAATGATGCTCACTGATCTAACTGAGCCGTTAAGACTTAAGAAAAATACTGAGTGGTTCGCGTCTACTTCAATACTTACTTCACTATATCGCTTCAGTTATGACGAGGACGACTGGGATTATATTACTTGTAGAGACAATATTTAAAAAGTTTATAGAATGCATGGGCTTTTACAACAATTGCTCCAGAAGGCTGGAATTTAGGGCATGTAAAGGAACAGATAATACTACAGAAAAAGAAGGGAGAGCTTTAAAAGAAGCATAATTAATTCTGCCTATAGTATCAAGATGTTATTCTGCTCGTGAAACACTATGCATTATGTTTGCCTAGGGATTTTTAAAACATTGACATTCCATGCTTAAGGCAAATTCAAACATTCTTTGTCATCTCGTGATGATTATTACACAACTGTATACCTTTAACCCTAAAACCTACCATCTTATAATTTTTTCTATAATCTTTGATTTTCAAACATCTTTTTGATAACTTCTAAGTTAAAGCGGATAACGTGTTCAGCGTTTGGTTAACCGAAGAAAACTTCATCTTACTCGAAGATGAAATTAAAATACATTGGAAATCTTGCAAAGCACGAACCGCTAGTTCATTGCGTTCAGAAATGCAATAACAACTGCCTAAATGTCAGAAAGTCTATCGTTCATTCATTAGGGAAAATTGTAATCTTACACCATTCATCATATTTGCTGTGTTCTGTATTTATCAAAAATGTTGCTTGATAACCCAGCAAGCGCTTGAAAGGTGGCATTTACATAATTTTCATGCCCCAGCCTAAGAGAACTGCTAATCGCACGGCTTTTCATCAACTTAATTACGGAGGTTTACCTTATCAGTCTTTTTTGATTCTATTTAACTGTAGTACTATTAAATGTAAGTAAATGCTTGGAAATTTTATCTAAAAATTCCAAAAGACGAGAACAAACAAAACAATGGCAACACTGAGCTTTACTGTTTTCCTTTTATTTTCATATATATATATATAAGAAGAGTACGGACAAATAGATGAGCAGATAATAACACGCAGAATAAACATGAGAACAACAACAATTACAAGACTAATGATAAACATAATAAATTGTTATTATTGGCGGTGGTGATGATGATGGTGTTATTATTCGTGCTATTGCTTGTTGTTGTCATTGTGGTCCTTGTTTTTGTTTTTATTATTATTATTTTATTAATATTAAAATTATGAAATGACAAGTAGTTATAAAAACTTGGTTTTCCGTTTTTTATACCGTAAAAGCAAAAAAAAACAAAAAATTAAGATAATAAATACACGATATTCACTAACACATTGGAAAAGAACTTGATTAAGATTTTAACAAATTTATATAACAAAAAAGTGTTTTTACGTTTTTCTCTTTTCATATTTTAAGAAACCGGTATCACTATAAGTTAACTGGTTTCTTAAAGTATAAATAAATATCTTTATATAAGCATATAATAAAGCATTTTCATTAGCAAGTAGTCAAACGAAAATTTTGAAAAAACTACAAACAAAAAAAACATTTTTATTTCTGTTTTTATCTGCTATTTTTAGTAGTAAAAGCGAGAGAAATAAAAAAACGATGGAAAAATCAATGAATGACACCACAAAGTACGACAGCACAACAACAAAGCCGAAAATAGCAACAACAATGCCAGTAATAATGGCACCAACCACTCACTCTTCACACTTTTCAATAACTTCTCGAAAGCAAGAGGAATAAATAGTTGTTGGTTGTTAGATATTTAACTAACTTTGGAACTATTTATTAATTTCAACAATTCTACGACTTAAATATGTTGTCTTTTCAATTTTTACTATGTTTAAACACTCCAATATTTCATCTCGATTGGTGTTTTTTCTAATTTGTTTTTTGTTTTTTTTTTTCTTTAAATTAACTAAAACCACCAACACATTTATAACTAAATAATGTTCTCTTACTCATGGGCTTACTCTTTTTACAACACAACATATAAACAAGCATACGCATACAAAACACAAAACGGAGACACACGCACACACATAACTACTCATTCAAAGCACTGTCATGCAATTTTTTAAAAAGATTTTCTTTTTTTATATTGTTTCTCATTTCATTTATTAGTTAAATCAATACGAAGTCTGATAATATTTGTATCTAACTCTTATTCACCTTTTTCTTGTTTTTACTTTCGTTAGATTTTCAGTTATTTTCTCATTTGTCTTCTTTTTTTATTTTTTTAAACCATTGTATATGTATTTGTTTAGCACATTTTTTTCTGCTTCTTATTTATTGCCACTCATGCACTAAAGTAATTTTTTTATTTCTTTTTTTCTAACTATACTTATTTTTCGTTCGTTATAGCAGCGGCACCATTTCAACAAAACAACATTATCGAAAAATCCACTGAACGAGACTGACGAGATTGACGACTGGCTGATTCGGAATTCTTCGATTTAAAAAGAAATTTGCTTTGCTGTATATTCTTCTGAAAGGTATTTTGACTTTTCTGAGAGCACTGAGTGTAAAAGAGACTGAAAACCATCTAGAAAATGTTTATATTTATATTCACGTTTCTCTCTATTAATTATTCTCTTTTTCAGCCGCGAATAATCTGAAATTTTTCTCAGAGCAAAGGAAATTTTACAATAACAATGTTAGCAATACTCTAATGCTGGCAAGAATCCTCTCAGAGAATGAAATTTTTCAAAAACAATGCCAGCAATATTCTAATGCTGCGAAGTAATTCTCTTAGAGCACAAAATCTTACAATAACAATGCCAACACGCTACTATGCTGCTCACTGACTGAAGTCTTGCGTTCCAATGCAATTCAATAAAACAATAACAATTTCGAAAATTTAGCAAAAACGAAATACAGGTTCTTTAGATAACAGTTAAAAAATACTGCCTTATAGATAAAAAAAACTAGATATAAAAGAGATGAATGTTATTTCACGTTCTCAAATTCAGAAATATTTCCCTTTTAGCACTTATTGCAAACGACTTGTCTTTTAAAAGGGAACATTTTCTAAGGGGAATATTTTTAGGCTTTAATATAGTTAAGACATAAACCAAAGGAGATTTATTTATAATGAGAACACAGTGAGAAAAATGAAACATCAACTTAACTAAACCTAAAAACTGTTTTTCGGTTCATTTTTTCAACAATTTTATCAACTATTTTTCGTAACAATGTTTTCGAATAATGGAAGAAAATAATTATATTATTAAGCTTACTTTCACGTAAACAATTAAAAAATAGCAACATACCGACGAATTGTTTAATTTAGATGGTCCCGCATGTAGTGCTACTAACTGATCCAAATTTGAACGAAAAAAACGATAATGATATTTGTAATATTCATTCTTGTACCTAGTGAAAAGCGGGGGGAATTTTCAAAATACTGCGCTTTGCGTGGTTGGTGAACATTTAGCATAAAACCGATCTTTTGTTAATAAAACATTTTTAAAATAGCTTACCGAAAATTATCCTTTATTTTTCACTCCTTAAAGGTATTGCGAAAAATTTGCATAAGATGAATGAAAATTGAGAGAATTATGAGGATAAGAACGCACATTTACTCTAACAGCTCTATTTTCATGACCGCATGAATCGCAATTGCACGGTTACAGCGCCCCCCAACCGAAAAAACTTGAACATTTTTAAATTCTTCCCATCTAACGTTCGGAGTATTTTCATGTAAAACTTGCGTATATTAAACTTGTCTTTCCATACGCAACGCTCGTAAATACGAATAAACTGCTATATGATAAGCATAAGGCAAAAAATATGAATTGAAAGTTTTATTTTCTATCATATATGTGTATGGAACACCAAATTATATTACGTAAAAAGTACACTGCGTCCTTGCTCTATGCGTAACCCGCGGAATCCAACTCCTATACACATAAAGACGACATAATCTAATCGAATTGTGTAAAATCAAATTGTCTGTAAGAAGAGAATTACGTGTATATATATATACATAGCAACAATCAAGCAACATAAAGCGCTCAAAATTCTTCTCCTTTCAAATTTATTGCTTTCGTTGTTTATTTGAAGAAAGTTGCTATCGAGAACCATCAAACACGTTCAGAGGCTAATGGTGACCCTTTTCCATCATATTCCAACGTGTTAAAGGTGGGCGACACGAATTGTCTAAAAATGTGATTTTTAGGCCACTTGTTGCAAGAAATGTTCCGCATGCACTGTTGCAACTCGAATGGGAATTCTGCCACACCCAGTGTTCTCATCAGACATGGCGTCTTCTAATCAGGATCACCTATGCGGATCCGCAAAGTTGAGAAAGTGCGAAAATGGTTTGATGGGTGGATGGCTACAAAGCTAAAATAAATTCTTTCGACACGAGATCCAGAGGTTGCCAAAGAGATGGGAAAAAGTTAGAGAAAATGACCAAAAAATATTTTGTTTAATATACATTGTACAAAGTTTTCTCAATAAATGCCTTTTTTAACTGAAAAAATGATCAAAACTTTTGCAAAAAAATTCTATCACGCTTTGCTTTTGCTCTTATGTTAAATACAGTTTCTATCATTGATTATATTGGAAAGTGCCTAGAAAAATGTAAAAATCAAAATCAAGAGTGATAGATATTGTTATATTAGTTTGGGAAAAAGAAATCCATTATTTTTATATGAATTTCAGGACTTTATTTAACATGCTTCGGATTGTCCGATTTGGGTCAAA